CTTGGAGATGTAATGGTTAGTTGTTGAGGAAAATACTGTTATGTGAAAACGGGTTTATACGAGAATGTGGTGCTACTGATTTAAATGTATGCGAGATGAAAAGAGTGTGTATTCGAGAAAACCTATTCCGGCAAAACTACATTTTAATGGGTGACCCTGAAAGTTCATTTTCGCACAAAAACATCTCACAAATTTTTACATGTACATTGAGAGAATCACCTTAATTCTTTTTAAATGTTGGTTTGGGAAAATGGAGGGAGGGGATTTCCCCCCAAATCGTTTTTTTTTTGGTGATATAAAACAGCGTAAAACTTTCAGTATAACTTAGGCTGGGGATGTTTTTAGTGTTTTTGATATTCCAGAGATGTATTCCTTGCATTCTATATCAAGAACCTTTAAGAAATTATAATGAAATCAATTTAAATAAATTTTAAGCGACTAAGAAGACTCTAACTATAGTTCTTTTGAAATCACGAAATCGCTATATGTAGCCTATGTATTCACCAACCGTTCACTCATTGTTATGTTTGTCACTTTTCTTCAGTTTTGGCGTGTAAACAATTCGAAAATAATAATTAACTGAACACCAGAAACAAAAAATTGTGTTACACAGTGTAATTCGTCCGACCGGCCCCACTTCCCATTAAAATAAGAAAGTTTAATTGCAGAAATCTGCTCATGTAATTAACTTTATTTGTTTACACAATATTTTGCCACCCCCAAAATTAGGCGCTCCAGAAGTACATGTACCAATATGGCGGTAACATATTTTGTCCGCCTACTTTACATCAAGTTGTGTAAAGGGACTAAAACCTATAGTACATACACTTGGCTAACACAGACTCGTAATAGAACTAAAATAAGGAAAATCGGAATAAAATTATGGCCTAACCCAGGGTGGTCCAAGGTTGTCGGCTCCGTGGGTCACAAATTTATTTTTTCATTGTTCGCGGGCCACAATAGTGCCAAGAATAGGTAAACAGTGCAATACAAAACAAACACTTTTATTGTGCAAACACATAGTTATCAGACATAGCCATCCCAGGCTAATAGAATCCGCATTCGATTTTTAGTTTCTTTGATGCCTCTATTGTTAGCATATATTTCCGACCAAAACGATAGAAAGCCAGATAATAATTTAGACTGCCAAGCACATCATTCAACTTCGCTATTTGCCTCAGCTAGCCATAACACTTAGTCAATTCAGTGACATAAGTGATGTAACAACATGTCAAAAAGATTTTTTTGATTAATTTGATTACAGAACAACACGAAATGGGATTTATTGACTACTCTCCGAATGTGACGCGGGTCACAGATAATGAAGCAGCGGGCCACACGTGGCCCGCGGGCCTGGGTTTGGACCACCCTGGTCTAACCCTAACCGGGTACACCCACTACGGGAGTGCCCAAAATTGTAATCGATTATATCCTATTTATTGATTCTGTATTACATTAGCGGGTATACGGACCAGGAGTGCGTGCAGCCAGTCAAAGAAGAGCAATTGCCAGGCCTGTCCATGGGACAGCATACATTCGTATTTCCCATGGGACACGGAAACCGTATAATTATTGGGGAAATGATGGTAAAACATTTCGTTATGGATTTTGTGTCCATATATTTGAGCATAGTTCTCTAGTTAGTTATAGAGAGCAAAACATATTCAGCATTAACAATATACTTCGTGAAGGGGCTGATGGACACATTTATATCAGTTATGAATATAAAGTTAACAAAGTCCGTAAATGTTGTTGTTTTGCATGTCTCTTCGTACATGTAGTCCTATTTAGTTGACGCTAAACCTAAATTTAACTGTTTTTACGGAATTTTATTCCAATGGAAATCCTATGTGATGGGACAGGCATAATTGCTATGGGAAGGGAATGGGACAAAAAAATATGTCTCATTGACAAGCCTGGCAATTGCATTCAACGTAAATACGCGACCATTATATTTATTATTTATTTTATGCCAACTACAATTCCAGGGATTACAATTTAATCATGTAGAATTGTAAATTGATTGAATATATATTATATTTTATTTCACAATGGTCTGGAAGATATTCGCAGCGGTAATTTCAATTAACTCTTTTAACTCTGACGTCTCTGAGCGAAGTCACTCCTCGCCCTGAGGGTTCGCACCGCCGTATCGGCAGGACAATAAAATAATTCGAATATTAGTTATTTTTTTATAACTTTTGACCAATTAGGGATAGTGTATTGACGGACATTTCAAACAGAGGTAAATTTTATCGCGCAGTCAGTAAAATGTTACATTTCAAAATAAATTTCGTCACAAAGTTTGAAAATTAATTTTGATCCAACTAACTGGCTTGTAAGTGAGTAATGACTAAAAATCTTGTCTTTTTGTGCAGAATATACTACCAGTGTTACCTGTTTACAGGCTTTTAGTTGATATTTGAATTATTTGCGTAACTATTTCATAACTGAAATTATAAAAAATCAAACAATTCGCTAGCCGCGACGTACTGATTACTTAGCTACGCAAACAGCAATCACATGACTGGCGTGACGTGGACGTTACTACGTACCAACGTGACTATAAACCAAGGTACAGTCGAGATGTATTGCGTGGTGTAAGATAACATTTACGGAATAGCTTGTGATCACGTTCTCAGTAGAACATCAGTCGCCGAATTTCGATAAAACTGTAATAAGTCTCAAATGATGTTTTTCGTGGGATTTTGCGAGGGTATACCAAACCGCGAAATATTCGGAGCCTTTGGCATTTTTTACCTTGTCTAATACGATATATACGTCACCATGGCGGCCTGGTGTAGAGCCATAAGGGCCGCCGCCCCTGGCAGCACGTTCTAGAGGTGAATTGGTTGCTTGGTTTGATGATTTAATTAATAATACGAACATTTCACTCTTACTTGACCTCTAATATATTTATTCTCATGTATAAGAACATGTAGAATTTGTTTAGCTTCCGAATTATTTTTTAATTTAGGTATAAGAGGCGCCATTATCAAAAACATGCCCTGTGTAACAGAAACAATGATAGTCACAATGATATGTTTTGCTTATCTCATCGAGCAACGTATTCAAGTGAGACCACGCGCTAATACAGATAGAGCAGACATGAGCAAAGTGCGGCCCGCGGGCCGAATCTGGCCCGCTGGGTAATTCAATCTGGCTCGCCTGATGCCGCCACAACCAAGCTGAAACCAAATTTTGATGTTTTAGTTAAAAATAGCTTAATGAATATATTGAGATTGCTGTTAAATTTAGATTTGGCACGAGGTTTATTGTTTTACACTGTTACTTTTGTAACACTGTAAACATTGTTCATAAAATGTAACTCTTCACGTCATACTTACATGGCCCGTCAGTCTAGGTGGGCAAAATTTTATACCCCTGATCCCAAAACCGTGCCCACCCCTGAGATAGAGTATGCGCAGTAGCTCGCTTCGTTCTGGTTTTTCAGTGCACCTTGTGTATGATCTTTTTCTAAGAAAGACTAGACGACTACTCCGATTTTGAGTTTCTGCTCTGCCGTAACTGAAACAATTCTTCCATTTAAAATGGCATTTTCCCAAAATATCTCATGCGACCTTCGGATACTTCGTGTCGGGGTGTATGTGGCCCGTTTAAATTAGCGTTTTTTTCTTCAAATAGTGCTTTTTTAATATATGGTCGTTGTTCAATATCGTGGTGTTAGCAATGTTATACGTCCACATCCATTAGAGCGAACTCTCTGACAGATAGATAGCGACAGATAGATTTTAAGTTTGATCAACTGCAAAGAATGTATTGAAACACATTACTTGGTAATTATTACAACAGCAAGGTATTTCGCTCACAAAAAAATCAAAACGGACAGCAAGCAGGTTTACGAAATTTCAAATAACTTTTCAATTCAACTTAACACAATATCAAACTGCATCTATTGGATTATTTACGTGATAGTTCAAGGCATCTCAATGATTCTTCTAATCAATTTATTGAGGAAATTTTACTTTATGCAAACTCATTTTTAATAGCATGCTTAATAAACAATGGCCAATGGCCAAACAAATATTGACTGAGACAAGATCTTTCGTAATAACTGAGATTGCAAGAGCCATTATGATCAGCGCTAGAAGCTGGTTTTAAGGGAGATATGGCATTAATTTCAGAGAATTCTAGAGTTTAGCTAAGCCTTTTAGTTCTTACTTCTATTGTCAGTTTCAAAACATTTATAATAGACTTTTGATTTCTTCATTTAAATATATTCCATTCTAAAGTAATAAAACAAAATTTCAGGCGATTTGAATACATATGAATGAGCGATTGTTTTTTACTGATTGGATAAAGTATACTTGAATCAACTCAGAAGTGACTGGCTCACGCACGGGCTATCATTGAATATAAAAAAGCTACTGAAATTAGTCAGAACTATGGTGATGCGCATGAGAAAATGCCGATTTGGTAAAACAGTTCGGTTATTTATTGCGCAAAACCGAAAATGAAGGCGTAAATAAACTAAAAATTTCTGTGCGTATCGCACCCGTAATCAGGTTTACAGTGTACAACAATAAAGTTACATTGTTTTTCGCTTTTATACTTGAAATGATTAAAGATGATAATCGCACCCACGGGGGCCTCCAGGGGTTCATTTATTTTTTTTATTTTTTTCAAAATTTTCACCGAACTACTTATCGTTTTGCCCATATTTTGCTGCATTGCCATGTGATTTTACCACCAATTGATTCCAGCTCAAAGAAACGTTTTAACATAGAATATATCTTTCGCTCATATTTATTTATCTGTGCATTGTTTGTTTTTTTATCATGTACTGTTTAGACTTTTTAATGGATGCCACTTCTCTATAACCAGTATGTTTTCCGCATCTCCCTGAAATGCAATTCTTTATATATAACTTATTGTAATTTGTATGTCGCGAGTGCCTTTTCAGCATGGTGAAGAAATAAACTACTGATTACTGTTTTTTTTTTTGTCCAGTAACAGCTATTCAGTAATGTTTGCGTAGTTAGTAATACCGCGTAGTTTAGTCATGATTTCAACGCTTCGACGATGCTGCGGATGTGAGCAGTGGGAACCAGCAGACGTTGAAGTTGACTATCAAGATCTAAATCGTAGAGACCGTCAAGGTGAGAAGATGATTTCTGGTACTGCCAAAGTATGTAAACCAAAATGGCGGACACCGAAACGTAGTATGTGTACCAGGTTAGGGTTAGGCCATAATACCACAGAAGTCACTTGGCTAGTCCCCGAACTCGTAATAGAACTAAAATAGGAAAAATGAAAAAAAAAATGATGGCCTAATCAACCTGTTTCACATATCCCGTTCCGGTGTCCGCCATCTTGATTTACATACTTCGGGAGTACCGATTTCTGTTAGTTTAACAACAACAACGTCTCGAAGTAACAACAGCAATTGTTTATACACCGGGTTTTACGACTTTCATACCGAGCCTACTCAGACCATATCAGACTGATATCAAGGAAACGGAATTACTTTGCTTCGGCACACCAACAATTGCATACGACCCCCCAACATCAGCCAGGGTACAATGAATTTATTAATCAATAAAATTCCGTTCCTTCCAAAATTGGCCGCTCTTCACATATCGCTAGATATCAGTTGTCCGCTTTACAAGGCGTTGTTCGGGGCGAAATGCGCTGATAAGCGTCGGTATAAAAAATCTACTCAAATATGGTTTAAGCCAGCAATCTAACTCAGTGGTTCTCGAACTTTTTAGGTCGCGCCCCACCTCAAAAATAACTGGCTAACAATAAGCCACAAATAACAGATAGTAAGGCGAAAGTATGTTTCATTCAAAAACATGTTTAAAATCAGATTAGATCGTAAAAATGATAACTAATCGATAGTTTTCTGATTTGTACCTTTTTTCAGGGGAAAGATATTTGATAAAATATCAAATTCTCACGAAGGACACGTGGGTGATTACAATCTATTCATTGGAAGATACGACCAATGCATGTCTGCGATTCATCAATAGCGGATACAGATGCATCGAGAGTGGTGTTCCAAATTACAATGCTCAGTTGCCTCATGGGTTAACATGCACTACCAACATTGTGCCCCATGTGCCCGATGAGAACACCATTACTATCCGGCCACCAGATGGAAAAGAACTTCGATTTGAAGATTTGCAAAAGCTTCATTGGATTGAGCATAAAGTAGAGATATTGGCCTCGCAAATAGGGAGACAAAATCTAGAGCTTCGTATCAAATGTGGTGACGAAATCCTTCAAAAAGAACCATTTAGTATGATGGTAGAAGAAGATCAAGTATACGGAGGTAAGCCTGAAAAACAAAAAATAACAGTCATCTGTTTAGATCAGGGTTTCTCAACGTTAGAGGTTCACGAGGAGATTTCCAGGGGTACTTGAATGGCAGCTGAGTTTTCATGTGTTGCCATTTTTAATGTCATTTACTATCAGAGGAAACTGATGTGAAATCTACAGCTTTGCAGCCAAACTGGGAAATCTCATAAGTCAATGTGCTGTGTGCTCCTCGAATTGAGGAACTTATTCGCAATATACAGGAACCGTGTTAACGCTAATGCTCTGCATAATTGAAATGAATACTGTTAATACTAATTGTTAAATATCATTCAAAACAGCGGTCCCCAACTTTTCTGGCGGACCGGTAAAATTAAATAAAATGTTCTCGCGGACCGGCAAAAAATTGAAATGAGTAGATTAGTAAATATTAACCCTCTTTTTCCGCTGGTTACAATCGACTTTTTGTACCATTTTATAATATTTAACATATATTTTTGCGAAGTGTAATGCAATGTCGCGCGCTTGAAACATTTCACATGAATAAAAACAAATAATGCGCCGGCCAAAAATTGAAATAAGTAGATCAAACTTTGTCCAGAAGAAGACTTATTCTCCTCGTTCTTGTTAAAAAATATCAAGATGCTTTGTTGGTTAACTGATCTCATATTAATCCTTCTGCAGTTAATCAACGTATCAAACAAAATGAATTTACAAAAAAATGTCAAATTCGTCTGTAACTTGGGAAAGATCTCTGCGGCCCATACTTTTGTTACGCGTCTTGTGACAACCTGCAGGGTAACAAACTCATATTTTACTGAATGTCAAAGCGAAGCCCTAAAATATCATACTGTCCATGAATGTTTTCTGGTATGAACAAAGAAATATTCAAACCTTTAACCTTTGCCTAAATGTCCATATTAAGCAGAAAAAGCATGCAGAACAGAAAAAAACACGTGTGCTGATCTGTGGCTTTCTGAATCTTGTGAGATTTGACGGACGCTTCGCGATGAATCGGAACCGAAAACGAAAAGTGTGATTACGCGGCGCCAAGACGTCGTCGGGCTATTAATACCGCAAATAGCAATATTTTGGGGGTTCGTGCATTTTCCTGTAAATGCCCTTCATTAGTAAACACGATAAATAACAATTAATAATTTTCAAAAAAACCTTTATAAATAAATTGTTCCTCTTTTTGAATACTCGCATTTTTCATTAAAATTTTTTATCGGTTTAACAGATGCTTTATGATTCCATGCTAAATGAATTACAATTTACAAGAAATTGAGAACAAGTTGAATATACGTGAATTGAACGTAAATACCCAAAATGAAGAAATGTAAATATCCAAAATGAAGAAATGTAAATATCCAAAATAAAGGGGGCTGGATTAAATGTAACAAATATTTTTATTATTTTTATTTAGCTTTACGCCCCCTTAAAAAATTGTCTACACTCCCTTGGGGGCGCGCCGTTTGAGAACCACTATAATAAAGGGTAATCTAATATTGTTTAACAAACAATTATAAAAAGCGCTGAGCTTCGCTTGTTAGAAGTGTATATAGAAGTGCTAATCGCTATTTCATTATCATTTATTCAGCTACATCGGTACAGCAGCCTCAGACCAGGCAAGTCAATAGACCAAAAGCTCTGCCTTTGAAGCCCGGTTAGTATTTTTTCAAATATTGACGGACGCTACCGTATTATTTCTCAGTTCAGCATATTCTACATATAGGTAGACTTGGGTAGATCGGAATTGCAATTAAAACAAAATTAAATTAAATAATTGAAACGAATATTCTATTCTATCATTTAACATACACAAAAGGGTGGCGGCTTTATATAGGGTTATGTTTTATATTTAAAATGTATGTTTATTGGTTTCAAAATCTAATGAATAATTATGAATTGAAAATAATAATTTCGCGGTTACGAGACAACTTACAAAGTACACAACACACGACTGTGTAACGTAGAAGAATATGACGGTTACTGCAGTCTAAATACCATGAAATGTGACAATAAAATAAAAAAGTTCAGTAATCTTACCTACAGCACATGGTTATTAGAAGAAATCTAATAACTGATATGGTTGGTTAGAACACGTTTTCTCGCTACGTAATTGTATCATCGTATATTTACAAATCAAATAGCATTCATAAGGTAGGATTTACATAGTTATCCCGAGGGAGAGGAAAGCCGAAAAAACGGCGAACCACGGACTCCATTTACCAGTCCATGTCGGGTATGGGATTAGTTAGCCAGTACTTTGTTTTTGTGTGCTGACTCCATACTTTTACTACAGGCGAGCCTGAACTTCGTTTTCTTCTGGCCAGATATGACGTTGAAAACCATTGGCCCCTACTGGAAAAGGCTGGCATCACAACGGTGCAACAACTTGAGTCTTTGAATAAACAAAGGTTGAGAGATTTGGGCGTATCGCATTTGGGCGACAGAATTAAACTCATGAAAGCGGTGAATAACTCCAAATCTGCTTTTGTCAATGTCGGTTACAAACCAGAAAGAAAAGGTAAGGCGACTTTTTGCATCCAAATCTCAAATTCAGCTAAGTGTTTCTCGAAATGGGAAGTACCGGACCACGGAGGTGATTTTATGTTTTACGGGTGTATGACACCATTTCGCGGTTAAGAATTGGGTGGACGATTGAGATTGAGAGGTTGAGTCACTTCTTTCAATAATTCATAAAATTTCATACATTGTCATGAGTTGTTGACACAAATTAGTTCTTGCCATAGAACTAATTACGAAATAAACACATTGGAAGACACTGACAATGCCTAAAATGCCACTTTTTATGCGTATAATTTAGCACAGGGGCGTGCAACTTTTATCAAAGGAGGGCCAGGTACAAGTAACTGAGTGAAGTCGCGGGCCGCACCAACTTTGAACGAATCCAGTGAGAAACACGCTTTTATGACATTGTGTATTTTCCAACAGGTTTTTGCTATCTAGTTATACTAATATGACAGTGGTACTCAGGTACTGGTATAAACTTCGCGACGCTGAGAAATTAAATATGCTTGCAAGTGTTGGATTATTTGAACTGAAAAAAAAAAGTTTCGCGGGCACACCATTCAAAATTGGCACTTCTTCGCGGGCCACACGAATTTTATTTGCGAGCCGTAGTTTGCAAACCCCTGATTTAGCACATCAAATCTCATTTATTTGAGGGTGACAGTTTAACGAGACTGAAATAACAATACCTTCCAATGCGTATACTGTTGCGAGTGCTCATGAGGTATGTGTACCAAAATGGCGCACAACCTGAACATAGTATGTGCACCAGGTTAGGGTTCAGGTTGTGCGTCATCTTGGTACACATACTTTTGGAGCACACTGTTGCGTACCAAAGCTATGGACACCATAGTCAACGATCAACAACAAAATTAGTAAATTTTTTTTTATTTATTTTAGCACCATCTAACATGGAAGAATTTTTGAATAAGATTGCCCTGAACAATTTGATTTACCTATTCATAAAGGAAAAAATAACGTATGACGTGTTGATCGACATGAACGAAGAAGATCTAAAAGAAATTGGGGTCAAAGAAATAGACCGGAAGGTCATAGTTCAAGCAGCCAAAGAAATACCTGGCTATGTTTACACGGAAGATTTTAGTGAGGGAATATATGATGAATTGATTGATTAGGGTTAGTAATGGTTCGAGTTTCCGGGGCAATCTGCATGAGCGTTAGCGTTTTTTTTAACACCCATTAGATTTAAGTTGTTCTAGTATTTGGCCAGTGATTTCAAACTGGAAAGATGCGAGTGGGATCCAACGAAATAACCGTGTGCCGTAAATCTATCAAAAATTTGAAAGCATTTGTAAAAATTTGAGAACACACCCCGTCACCCTTTAAAATGAGAAAATCAGTAATTATGCAGTTAGAGTTGGTATTGATTTCAAAATTTGAATTTCCAGAGCGATTTGCATTTAAATTTTAATAACTAGCGGTAGGCAATGTCGATAAGGTCCAGTTCTTTTTAAAAATGGTAGGTCCATACGTATTAGTGGTTGTATGTATCTTGTTCCGAGTAACATTGAGAAGCGCTCCTGTAAAAAATATATTTTGTTCATTGATTGGAGAATTGAATATAATTAATATTCAGCATATTTTCAAATTCTGCATAAATGATTTTTACATCATGAACTTTCTACTTCTACTATGCAAGTTGAATTCACTTATATTTTTATCTATGCATATTTACATATTTAGAACCGTCAATTCCTATCTCGTATTCATAATGTTGCGGAATTTACGAAGTGATTAAAAAGTAAATCTATGATTTGAGATTAGGTTTGTTTATAAATGTCTAGCAGGCTTAAAGAGGTTGAGCTTTTTATACACGGAGGGTTTTAGCATTTAGCAGAATAAAAACGTTCGCGACTCGTTTATCTCAAAGCATTGTCACAAGAAGTCTTTTCGAAGTGAAAGACGATGATACCATGAGGACATTTAGTGGTGTTGCTACGATTGCCCTCGCGATGATTTTTATGAGGGATGAAACTGCGAACGCCTCAAAAAGTCAATATTTCCAACCCTGGATAACACTCACTACTTATACAGCAGTGGTTCCCAAAAACCGCGGCCCGTCGGCCAATTACGGCCCGCCGAACTTAATTTAAAAAATTTAAACACTTCATGTTTTTTTTTTCTATTTGCGTTCTAGATACTGTTAACTCTTAACTGTTACGTCATTATCACTGTTTATGCACATCTGTATTCGTAACAATTCAATTACACCGGTAGTTTAATTATACGCGCAACGGTATACTCCCGTAGTACTTGTACCAGATTAGGCCATAATTTTATTCTGATTTTTCCTATTTTATTTCTATTACGAGTTCGGGGACTGTCTGTGTTAGCCAAGCGTATACACCCCCTGTCCATAGGTTTCAGTCTCTTTACACACCTTGATGTGAAGTAGGCGAACTAAATTAGGTACCAATTATCGGCCCACCGCGGACGCTCCACTCTTTCGGTCCGCGAATATTGTTCCACTTCTAATTTTGGCCACTGGTCAATCAACTTTGGTAACCACTGGCATATAGAAACCTTCCATACATATTACATGCTTGTAAAAATGCAGGTCTCCCTCCATTGAGCCGAATCACGAGAACAGATGAACGTCGACACCTAAGAATAGTATTAGGAGCCCGAATCGAATGTAAAATATCGGCAAAAAAGGTATTCGAGTACTATCGCTCTATGTCACTATAAATAACCTGTATATACAAAAGCGTGAGTGCGGCTTGCGCAGGGCACTAGCTAAGGATTCATTAAAGCTTGAATAAATTAAGCATTCTTATGGATAGTGAGAGAGGAATGAAGAGTAACAAAATGAGCGAAGGGGAGAATTTAACGAAAAGGGTCAGGAACCACTGTCTACCCCAATCGCTTTTTTGTTGCATTTCTATCTTTATATAGTTTGGTCCTTTAGATCGGGGGTTCTTAAACTTTCAGTGTCATGGAGCCCGTGAAGAGGTTCACAATCACTTTCGGAGCCCTACGATAAATTTATAAAATAAAAATTTTCTATTGGACCTTATATATAATGCCAAATTTAAATTAACGCCTTGTTGTCACATTCCGCCGCTATCGTTGTCAAATTACCATTATTGCTTATCTGGACAGTTACAAAATTAGCCGAGTCAGTATTTTTGATAAGAAAACGCATCGTTCGTGAAGGCCCTAGGTTTATCTCACAGAGCCCTGGGGCTCCGTACGGAGCACTTTGCGAACCTATGCTTTAGATAAACAAAGAAATTTATTAATGAAATATTCCTCCAACAACGATGCAGTAAAATGATGCTTCAAACCCGCTTCTTTTCGAAAAAAAAATAAGGAAATTTACATGGTAAAGTGTTTCATCAGTTGATTTTAACGATATGGCCACTTTTTAGATTTAGAATCAAATGTTCAGTGAAAATACGAAATAAAAACAAGAGAAGAAATATATGTATGTAATATACGCTTGGGAGAGCTGACCTTGATGACCGCATGGTCGTATTTCTCTTTCCAGTGTATACCAAAAAAAAAAAACAGCATTGTTCTCGTTGTTTTATTGCTGTTGAACAATATTCAATCAATCTCTTATCGTTACCGGTATGATATAGGATCTCGTAATATCGAGTACCATAGATAGAACTTACAGGGAAATTAGTACTCGATTACTTGCGGAAAACGAGATTTTATAACAACAATAGTACTCCCGTAATGTGTGTACCAGGTTAGAGTTAGGCCATAATTTTATTCCGATTTTCCTTATTTTAGTTCTATTACGATTTCGGGGACTGCCTGTGTTAGCCAAATCATTTATACTCCCTGCCCATAAGGTTTCAGTCCCTTTACGCAACTTGATGTAAAATATGCGAAAGCAATTAGTTAGGCTACTTCCATATTGGTACACATATCTAACAACAAGAATTTTGCAAAACGACGCACACGTCGTGTCAATTTTTACATTGCGTGGTTCGATAGTTACCAGCACTAAAGACGAACAAACAAAAATGTTGTACAAGCTGTGCTCATGCCGCCCCGCACATAAAGGACAGGGGGATTCCCCTGGTGGCTGACGACTGAAAATTCAAAGATCAAAAATAATCACAAACGGAATATACAGGAATAGCCGTAATAACTGTCTTTTTATCATATTGCAGAGTTTTTATTTCGCCGATGTGTATATTAAGTATTGCTTGATTTGTCCAGAGTGACTTCAGGCAGTGAAATCGATTTTGGCCTAAACGGAGATTAAATTTCTTTTGAGCTGTACAAAATCGCTCAAATGCAATACAAAAGCCTAACAGAATACGATTACAATTTTTAAAAATGCGCGGCTTCAGGAGTGAGTTTTTGTAATTAAATTTAAGTTAAATCGAAGGGTTCGAAAGTTCCCATATTTTAAACTTACTGTAAAAAAGTGAGGTCCCAATAGTACGCATAAAGGTTCCCCGTAATATCCAAATGACTTAGGCAACCTTAGCCGCGGTCTGAATAGTATTACGAAGTCTCCATTTTCGTTATTCAAATTCGATTTTTTTTTGTTTTGACCAAAAGATCAAAGTTATAACACAAGGTGCAAATACAACCTTCACGTTGAAGAATTTTCTAAACATGTTGGACACCATAATAAGGGCAAATATCAACAGCAGTAAATTGAATTGGATATTTTGCTTTTGCGTACCCAGGCGTGTTTTATGATCATTCGTAGATCCTATCGATACGATATAATAGCAATGAATTAACTAGTTTATTCACATCAAATAAAAGGCACTATACTTGGATAAGTTGAACAACAAAATAGGATGCTTGAACTAAAAGAAATAACGAATGGCGCAATAATGAGAAATTCTGCTCATCGTAATGATGGCAAAGCAAACATTTCGTGAATATGGTATTTGTCACCCGGGAAAGCAATAGAAAAAGATATCGGGGAATTCCAGAGTGACTTTGGTCGAATGTAGATACTGTTTGAGCCTTGACGAGAGAGGTTATCTAAAGCGACTTCAACACGTCAAATGTATTATGGGTAACACAATGCCCTGAAGCAGGGTTTCTCAAACTTTTGGTTGTTACAAAGCCCGTGAAGAGGTTGACTATTATTCACGAAGCCCCACAAATAAATTTTGAAAATAAAACAAAAAAAAACCTTGTTACTTACAGATTAATGTTCCTGAATAAATTAAAATTACTCCACTTAATTTAAATGCTAAACCTTTCTTAATCGGGTTAATACACGACATAAGTAAATCTGAATTTTACAGATAAATTATCACTAAGGCTGTAAATTTGGCACTTGACAAACATAATAATAAATTCGGGTTCGAACCTCCTACCTTGTGATATTTTTGGAATAACGTGCGCGATTGCAATTTGTTAAAATTGCCAATTGTTTTTTGTCAGCGCCACGTGTTTTTAAGACTGCAAACATCTTTACGTAGATGTTTATTCTCCATAAATCACAAATTTTCCTCGGCATATGCAGGTATTGTTCCACGAGGACACCGATAATTACTTTTTTGGTACGGAAGCCATTATTGGTTTAGCCATTATTTTATGTTATTTTAAAATAGTAATCTTTCATTTTAATAATCGTAACAGTAATCTCGAATCAAAGGCGAGTAACGATGAACACAATTAAATTATTATGACAAGATATTTTATATGCTCGCGTCAGCCACGGATTGAATATATTACGCAACAGAAAACTCGTTATCCACTGAAAAAGTCTTTTTTTAATGAATGACCTAATTGCGAAGAATGTTGCACGGGAATTTCCGATTCCAATTCTGCACCCTCATCCTTTTTAAAAATCCTGGCTGTACTCCTGCTTATAGTCTATTCAGACCTGCCCAACCTTTTTCGTCTCGCGGGCCACTTTCATGTGACGAAATTCGTTGCGGGCCGCAAACGTTTGTACCAAACATTAATTCCAGCTCCAAGTCCTGATTTCGGTGTAGGTAATTTACATAATACATAAAAGTCAAGTTCATTAAGATGAAATCAATCAATTTAATAGTTGCTTTCTGGTTACTGAGTAGGGCTGGCAAATTATTCGAATATCAAGTCGAATATTAGAATAGCAGTTAACTAACGAATATCTGGTATCACGGGGCGTGGACATGACACTTGCGGTTTTCTGCCCACCACGCGATAACATACACATCACGTCGACATTGAGGGGTATATTTGCGGTATAGTGTTTTTATTCATTCATTTGCAGTAGCTTCAATTCAATGTTTAAATGAGCAATATGTGCGCCAATGTCGCGGGAATATCAAGTTATGTGGGCCGTTTCGTAAAATTTGAAACACCAATACAAGTATTCAATGAAGTAACATTACAAAGATTTCTGCAGAAATCGTCCATGGACGAATAGCCTATATACTGATTTATGGGGGCTCCCGAAGTATGCGAACCAAGATGGCGGACAATCAGATACCGGAAATAATGACTCATTGATGTGAAACTGATTGACCGGTCATTAAGGAAAATATAACTCCATATGCCTATCTGCTGCACAACCCGTAAACAGTAAATTAGCGAATTTATGATAACCATAATAGGATCTAACCAATGCTTTAACAGGGGACGACTATGAAGAAACAATGAATACGGTGACCTTAGCCCAGGAAGGAGTGTTTCAGAA